CTGGATCAAGCTAAAGGTCCATCCAAGCCCCAGACTCCATTCCCAGCAATGGACACTGGTGGAAAAGTGAGAAGACCTGGCGGGCATGCAGTGTGCTCCTTCCCAAATCTACCTTGCCTGCCACCAGAAGACAAACTCCCCATGGACTCACTGACCTGCCCAGGGGCAGTGGTCCCAGGAGCCAACAGCTCAGCGCTCAAGGGCTGCCCATCACTCCTGAGTCCCCATCCTGGGTGCTGTGGACCAACATATGCACAGGCAGCGTCCAAACCACCTGCACCTACAAACAACTCAACCTGCACTTTGTTCTGAAGATGTTTCTACCCTCCACCACTATCAAAAGGGAGGATTTGCTTGCCTTATCACAGCAGATTGGCAGGAGCAAACACTACCTAAGACAATCTGATTTTTACAAGGCCAAGGAGCTAGAAGTAAGATAACAGGGCTTCAAATACAGTCAAAGAGTAGATGGGAAACTGGCTTTAGCCTCTGCAAGGTGGCAGTGAGTAGCTGAGGGGATAAGATTGTCACTCGAGGTCACTCGGGTAATGAGCTCAACACCAATCACAGTTGCTTTTAGAAGTACAGAGCTAGAAAGCAATTTAAAGAATTTGAAGAGTATGAAAACAGTGGACTGTTCGATCTACAAACATGAAAATGTGACATTAGAAGCAAAATGAGTCTCAATTAGCAGCCTGACTACTACTTGTGCAACAGCCTTCCATGGAAAGCTGCAGAGCTTCACACGATTACAGAATTAAGAGATTCCACAGCAGACAGTAATCCCTCATCAGCAGGGCCAACAGACTAGATGAAAGTTTCTCAGTAACAGGATTGCTGGAAGATCATCATCTTCTCCCCTTTCTTTACAGTTAAAAAAAGAGGAGAGACCTGCAGAAGATTTGGGTTTGTACTCATAGGTTATGCTACAGAAGATGTTGAGAACCTCTAAACTCGCTGGTTCACTGTTTGTTTTACCCTTAATTACTTTAGTCCTTGAACAAGGGTCACGTCAGCCCTTCACAAGGTCCCCAAAGCTATGTTCTACTCACGTCATCTCAGTGTGAGCAGGCAGAAGGACACAGCATGCCGACACACTCTGCAGAACCACAGTTTCTCAGTGGACAGTCCAATATCTAAACGTCTGAATAGTCCCTCATAGCACAGATCTCACACCATCCCACAAACCACGCTCCCTACAATCTGTGCTTAGAACACAATACACTGTGGTTTTGATGTCTGACAATCTCCAAAACTCTTGTTAATAACTTGAGCAACAGTCTGTTGAGAGACATTGTGCCAAACTGCGTTTATCCCTGGGGCACAGGGAAAATAGTTTCTGTTGTCATTTTTTTCTTCACTCATAAAGTGGTGGCCAGAGCATCACACGCCTGCAGGATAAATGTGGGGAGTAACAAGGATTATTTATTCAGTAGCTGCTTTGAGTCTATCGAAATTTGCTTCAGGCTTCCTGCCCACAGGTCTGGGTGCTGTTGTTTCCTGCTTTCCTGGCTTCTGATTACGGAGATGGGAAAAGGAAAGACACCTACTGCGACCTTCCTCAGCAGGGCTCCACGGCAGTGCTACAAGCCAGCAGAAAGCTCAGACAGCTCTGAGCACTCCTGCAGCTGCTGCAGCTCCACGGGTCAGCAATTCTCAAGCCGTAGCTCCAGGAGCAACATCCGTTCACAAAACCACTCGTGGCTGACAAAAGGTTTCAAGAGCAGACCTTTGTCCCTGGGAGCAGAGATATTGCTTGTCCTAAGGATTTATTTAAGTTTATCCAACTTAATTATTTACATGGAGCTGTTGGAGCAAGTCCAGAGGAGGCCATGAAGATGATCCGAGGGCTGGAGCACGTCTCCTATGAAGACGGGCTGACAGAGTTGGGGCTGTTCAGCCTGGAGAAGAGAAGCCTTCAGGGACATGTTATAGCAGCCTTCCAGTACCTAAAGGGGCTACAAGACAGCTGGAGAGGGACCTTTTGCAAGAGCATGTCATGACAGGACAAGGGGCAATGGCTTTAAACTGAAAGAGGGGAGATTTTGATCAGCTCTACGGAAGGAATTTTTTACAGTGAATGTGGTGAAGCACTGGAACAGGTTGCCCAGAGAAGTTGTGGCTGCTCTATCTCTGGAAGTGTTCAAGGTCAGGCTGGATGAGGCTTTGAGCAACCTGGTGTAGTGGAAGGTGTCCCTGCCCATGGCAGGGGGGTTGGAACTGGATGATCTTGAAGGTCCCTTCTAACCTAAACCATTCTATGATTCTAAAATTATATATTCTTGGTGGGCATAGGCAATACCAGAAGAGGGAGTAAAACACTTCAAAGGACAAACATGGAGCTAATAAGAAGCCATGTGGCAAGTCAGCAAGTTCCTTTCAAAGGCAGAAAACACCACCAGTAATATGGTGTGAGGTGACACGGAGCAATGAACTCAGCTTACCTTTGGCAGGCTAACGGGAGTCCTCGGCTTTGTTCTGGGATTCTTTATCAGTTGCCTTTGATCCAGAGGAAGCAAATGATATTTCATGGCCTCGATAAGGAAGTCTTTACAGGTGTTGTTATTCTTGATTAAAGCTTCTTCTTCAACTGTCTAAGAACATACATACACATGAAAGATCATTTAAACTGAAGTAGTTGGTGGCACAGGTCACAAGAAGCATTGTACAAAGAATATGAAACCTGAAATTTCTCCTCCAAAGAACCAATGTAAAAAAAAAAAATGCAGAATACAGACTTCCAGCTCTTTCCAAAGAAACATGCAGTAACATCCAAGCTTCTCACTTTCCTCCAGTATCACTCGAGCAGCAGTGCACTCTCTATTTTACCACCCTCTGCCAGACACTTAACTCGGCAGAGGAGAATTCACCAGGAGTCTGGGTACAAAATAAGTAATTTCTCTTATATGAGTTAGAAATTTTAAGGAGAAGCAATCTCTTTTACTCGATCAGAAGATATAGTTCAGAGAGAAAAAATACATGATGGGTTCATCTTGTGAATATCAATTTTATTCCAATTCTATTGATTTTTTTTTAGACACATGATAAAAGCATAGTATGCCCATATGCCAACCCCTTCTTTGGGAATTCTCAGCTTATTATCAAGGCCCAGATCCCAGGAATTAACTCCTCAGGAACAATCTCTAAGTCAGAGAGCATCTCACCTGCCAGTCACACACCCCCACCTCTATGCACAGAACATGTCTTAAGCCAAAATTATCACACATGACATGTTTTCACCAAGTTAAATTTACCCGTGCATTAGGGAAAAAAATTGCACAAGCTTTTAACACCACCACTTGGGTATTTTCAGGGTGACAAATCCCAAGATACTGACTTCTAAATGCTTCTGCCAAGAGGTGGAAGGAGCTCTGCTCTCAGCACTGCCTGGCAGAGCGCACATTTATCAGGTTTCTGCACACACACATTGATTTCTGAATCGAACCAGTTTTCCCTTTTATTCCCCTGTTTACAGACTCAGTGACATGCCAGATTACCCATCTCAGACACAAACAGCCAGGCCATTGATTAAGGAGCTAACAGCAGCTTAAGTGCAAGTATTAATTACCTATTTGCAAACTAACCTGTACAAGATAATCTACTAACCTGTACAAGATAATCTCTGGGCAAAAGGGGTAGGCGAACATGCTCCATCAGTTTAGCCATGTGCTCTAAGCGAGACTCCTTCTCATAATTTATCCAAGAAATAACCGCTTCAAAGACCTACACAGATAAAGTGCAATTAAACAGAGAAGAGAGAACTGGCTTGCACAGTCACCTACTCAAAATGAGAAGCATTGTGGCTTTACTACTGCAAAGGGAGGAGGTGCGAGATCTCTATCAACCAGACGAAAAAGTCGTGACTACGCACACAGCACAAGCACCACGGTAGCAAAGAGGTGAGCTGACCATGCATATTAATAAGCAATTTCACATCTAGATGTGCTGTATCACTCTCAAAGCTAAGCGTGTGGCCAGAACAATCATATACCTCTTGGACATTAGTGCTGGAAGGCAACCAGAAAACTTAATTAGCCTGTTGACATTTGCACTGGACATTATTAATGGAATCAGCCACAACAGTTACTCCTGATAACAGAGATCTCCCTTCCTGAAGGGGTCTGGCCACACAGCAGGTCACTATGTTCACCATCATGTTTAATCACCGCACCAGTTCCCCCCTCCCCACCCCTAAACCCAAGAAGTCTTCAGGACAAGTTCACCACATGCACTGGGAAATCCCTGTCTGCAGCCACGCACACAATGCACCACTAAAAATACCCCGATACTTCTGCAGGGAAACAAAGGCACGCTGGACTTCTGCTCTTCTGGTTTCACTCCCAGATCCAGCTGGTTCAGATAAGCATCCAAACTTCGACTCCGTGACGAACTGTGCACAAACAGCCCCGTGCAGCAGGAGCCACGCTGAGCCCTGTGCCATGAGCAGACGTGGGCAGAAGCGTCCTACGTGGGCTCCTGGCATGAATATGCATGTGCTTGTACAACTGTGAGCCTCACTTCTCCCAGAAGAAAGGCCTAAAAGCGTCAGCAAGAGTGGGAAAGGCTTCCTGAAACACCCAGCAAGGCAAGGACAGGGGCTGGAGCAGTTTTGGATGCTGCACAGCAGGACCTCGATCCTTGCAGTGGAGCTTCCCTACAGAGTCAGAATTAAATTCTGACCCTTAACTTACATCAACAGGCAAAATTCCTCAAGTGCTCTCACTATCTGCTTACTTGTGAGGGGCTGAGCACAGCCCTCTCCCGTGGAGCCTGGCTGTCCCATGCTTCCCCCAAAACGCATGGCTGGCCCTGCGTCCCGGCACCTGCCCTTGGTTTCAACTTCTCTCCAGGGTCACCAAATGGTCAGGTCAATTTGCACAGATTTTTTTTGCTTCTTCCCATCCCTCCCATCGAAAGCATTTTGTTTGGTCCAAGGTCACTAATTTAAACAATATAAACCAGAACCAAGGGCACTATGTCTCGGTCCCCAGGTGTTGCTGGCAAACCTATCTGCAGGAGGCACTGGCAGATGCATCCTCCCACAAAGGGGAGGCAGAGTGGAAAGGGGTTTTCTCCTCTTAGGCTAATCATCATCCTTTAAAAAAGCAGCAAAGCACCAGCCTCATTTCTTATGCCAACAAACGCTCTTGCCGAACTGTTTGGAATTCAGGATGCCACGATGAGGATTTAAGCAACGCAACGGGGAGCCGTGTCATCAAACCCCAGCAAATGTGGAGGAAAACAAACAATTTCACCTTGGCTACAAGGCGTTTAAAGTAGAAACTAGATTGTCAGTGAGATTTTTAATTGCAAACGAGCGTGGAAGGAGCATAAAGCAAATGTTTAGCCAACAAACGTGCTTTTCATTAACGTCTTCTGCATAAATGCTGAGCTACAGAACCGGTCACAGGACTGGGACGCATCCAGCTACAGACCACGACGACAGAGAACAAGTCTTAAAGGAAGGTAAAGCAAACGTGCACGAGGAATAAATTGCTTCCTCAGTGCTGGAGATCGCTCCTGAGTTAGGCATACACTGACGCTACCCTGTTGTGTCTACTCTAAAAATAACAGAAATTTGTTAAAAAAATCAGATTCTGGCACCTTCCGTTGGCTCCAATTTCTAATTTTTTGAGAAGAGGGGAGGGGAAAAAATCTTAATCCAAGACAGCGATATCTCTAATTAAAGGCCACATCTGTTTCCACTCCTGCCATGCAGTCACCCACACAGCTTTAGCCCGAGCAGAGGCACTGGCTGAGTTAGCGACCGGCACCTGCCCGGCTGTAGGAACAGTCCCGAGCTCGGGAGAAGCAGATTTCCCACTCTATGGAAAGAGGCAATAACCCCTTTCTGCACACTACCTAAGCAAAGAACAAGCCCAGATGTTTTCTCAGTCTCTTCAGCCAATAACCCCATTGTTAGATACTCCCAGGAGTGAGGACCAAACTGTGCATCAGCTCGTACTGCATGGCAGTGGCACGAGACGATGAGTCGATTACTGGGCTCTGTGTAAAACCCTCAATCCAAAAATGCCAGCCCTCTTAAAATTTCTTTTGGCACTGTTCTGACTTGGTAGGAATCATTTCTCGAGGGCTGGAAGCCCCTCCATTTCACATATCATTAGTAAATATGAATAAATATAATTCTGTATAATTTTTTCCTTGCTTACATACACTATTGTAATTAAAAAGTCGATTAGGTCGGGTACAGAATGCTTTGATAAAACTGCCTTCAAAGTACTCAGCTATAGCAAAAAGAGCAGGCAGGGACCAAAATAAACCTTTGCCCTAGGCCAAAAGTGCCTGTGCAACCACAGAGGCTGGCACCAGCGAGGGCAAGAGGAAGAGAAAGGAGGATAATCTTTGGATAAAGGGGAAATGTCACTATTTTACAGTTACAATAGATTTCTGTACTAGTACACAATTTTTAAGTCCTTATGGCCTAGGGAAACAAGAATGCCAAAAATTATGGAGATAAAGAATACATTTTATTAGGGCAATTGGCATTAGTTGGGGGGTGGCAGAGAAAGGGGAGAACGCAACAAGTTCTTGGGCACACACGGCTGGTCTTGGAGAATTACAAGAGCAATACTTCCCTCCCTGGTGGTGTTGCCTTCTGGCCCTGGCAGGACTCAGCTATAATGCTTCCCAAGGACCCAGAGATGGCAATGCTCTGGCTCACAGGCTGCAGTACACGTATGAGACCCAGTAAGAACAGGAACTTCTCATGAAATGTGGCTGCGACAATTTAGCACTCAGATTTTTTAATACATATATTACATATATATGTAATTAAAAAAAGTGTATATCTCACACATTACTAGATAGGAAGAATAAAGGTCAGGGAAATTGCTTGTCAGTCCTGAAGCTAATACAAAACAGCAGCCTAAGAGTCTGTCCTCAATTTTCAGCACTTCTTTGGACCTCAGCACATATTTCAGCGACAATTTAGCACTCAGATTTTTTAATACATATATTACATATATATGTAATTAAAAAAAGTGTATATCTCACACATTACTAGATAGGAAGAATAAAGGTCAGGGAAATTGCTTGTCAGTCCTGAAGCTAATACAAAACAGCAGCCTAAGAGTCTGTCCTCAATTTTCAGCACTTCTTTGGACCTCAGCACATATTTCACGTTTATGTTCCAACTCCACGCTCTGCCTCTCTCCTGTTTTTCATATCTGTTGTTTTGAACACGCAGCTTACGCTTACGTTTCCTTCCACCTCCTTGCATTCTCAACTTTTACAATCAGCTACAGAAATACCGGTTTTGATTGTTTAAAGCTCAAGATGAGGGAGGGAGTACTTTGATTTCTCTGGGCACAAGGCCAACAAAAGCTTTTTGACAATGCTGCACCGGCCTGGAAAAATTGGTTACTAAACTTGCACTTCCCTTTGCAGGCTGCTTGGCTCATGCAAAGCGATTCTGCTGCAAAATTCACGCCATTTGGGCTTTTTTCCCTTTTTCAGCCTTGCTTGTGTGGCACAGAGCAGCACCCAACCAAGATGCTCATGGTAGCCCCACGCCTGCGGAAACACGCACCCCGAAGCCTTTGATTTTGCTGACTCAGCATCAGAACGAAGCATCGCCGCGTTCACACCTCACGTGGTGCAGGTTTTCCAGCAAGCTTCCCCGTCCGTATGGGCCTGAGCATCCGTGTGTCCACAGCCCCAAGGGGCTGAGCAGGAGGGGTGCACACACCTGGATGCACAGCCTGACCAGCCCAGTACAGACCAGCAGCACCAGGCACACCCAGTGCCAGCCTCACCCCACCAAAAGGCAGGTCCTGGAGTTACGAGCCACACAATCTTCAACCTCTCCTGTAGCCTCCTACGAGCATCCATCTCCCCGTAGAGACAATCTGGAGGTGAGCTGGAGGACTCGAGGCACACATCTCTCCCCAGAAACCTGCTGCAGGTCACACAAGAAGCCCGCACCAAAGAAAGGGGCTGGACCTGGTGTTCACCAAGTGCCACAACCACCAGTCACTCTCCCTCCCAGAAGTACAGACTACACAAGATGTGCTGAACATTTCAACCACAAAACAACATCAATCAGTGCCTTTTCTCCTCTCTTCCCTTAAAAACATCGATGATGATAAAAAAAAAAGTTTCTTTCCTTCCTTTTTAGTTGCTCTGTCTGACGTGCAACAGAAGCCAATGCTCCTCACTGGTCTAATGAAATTCACCTTTTTTTGACATTTTACGGCAGGCAATAAGAGCTTTACACCAACAGCAGATGGGAGGTTCCTAGTTTTCCAGAGAGGGAAGGTATTCAGTTCTGTTCCCTAGGGCTTTTGGAAGAGATATGGATCTGAGAATCATTACTTCCTATAAGAAACAATCAAGTGAAGGTCATTTTTATGTGGTTTTAGGATTTGCTTTATTTTTTCATTTTCCTTTCCACATGATCTCTGTTGGAAAACAGCCCCTAAAGATCATAACGTGAGAACAGTTTCCAATGCAAGAACTAGTAACATTCCAGCGTTCCTACATTCACTGTTGCTATACAATTTACTGTACCTTTTCTTCAGAGGAGACTGTGAGCTTGTCACTTGATATTAAACTGCAAACCTGGTCCAGACTAAGGCTAAGAAATTCTTCTCCTAGCATCACCTCCGGAAAGTGCTGCTCTGTTCAACAAACGAAAAGGGGGAACAGAAAATCATAATGAAATCCATGTTTTAAGTCAATGGAAGGACTACAGGATTCAGAGAACTCCTATTATTACACCTCTCAGCACCCAAGACAAACAACACACATGGCAGAAGAGAAACAGAAAATAGTCTCAAAACAGGTTAAAGAAATTTGATGTTATTTCAGGAAACATGAGCTTCATGAGACACTTTCATAGATGACACTAAATGGGAGCTTAACTTTCTGCAAAGCCACAAAGTACCTTCCAGGGGCAAAGATGACTAGAAGTTGCAACTGAGAAAAGTGTCAATGCCTTTCTGAAGTAGTCAATAACCTGGCCACCTCGAGATTCAGTTCTTGCCCACTTCAACAAACTAGACAGAATCAGATCTGTTCAACACCTGGATGAGAGACTGCAGCAAGGGTCTCTGATATTAGCAGGTATTCAAAAGAAAGTCCATCTTTAACATGAATCAGCCAAACAGCCAGTTTGGTGCATATGCTCAGCAGCACACAGTGAGGGATCCCAGGGCATCCAGCTGAATCTGTATGTGCAAGGGGGCACACAGAGACGGGCAAGGGTGGGATCCTCATCCCATGCACACAAGTGGAAGGAAAGAAGGACAGCTGATCCTATCCCACTTTTAAATTCTTTCCCCAAAATGTATAAAATTAATCCTTCCCTTGCTCCAAATCCTCAGAAACTAATCTTCTCCAGCAGCCTTGCCTCTTCCCACTTAGTCTGGAACTGTACAAATTTGCTTTTTTTCCCTTTTTGCCTCCAAATCCCTCCATGCTGTAACGTTGGGAGCCACTTGAAAAACAAAACACAGCAATTCACATCACTGCTTATAATGCCAAACTGGGAGAATTGTGACTAGTTGCAATATAGATCCTAAAGGAATCATCAGATCTGTTGAGCTTTACATTCAGCCAAAGCGCACTAGGAAAAAATTACTTTATAGAAAACATTTTTTAGGTCAAAGCCATCGTTAGCCAGTTGCAGACAATTTTAGTCTTGCAGGATTTGTTACAAATCATGCCAATTTTATCTCACCTGCCGTTTGCTAAGTCCCATTTATCTTTGTCTGAAATATGGAAACATTAATCTCGGATACTTTATCTGAAGTGGCTGTTTTCAAGCCCTAATCCCTTTAGCTTTGAGAAACTCAGACTCATGTATCCAAATTGCTCCCTCTGCAGCAAGATCTGCCTCTAGCTTTCACCTCTGCAAAATACTTTGCCTGCCAAAAAGTAGCACCCCAGGGACACCAGCTGGCGTAACTTCCAGAGAGGAGCTCCTTGGAGATCGCACCTGAACAACTCCTCACCAGTCCGGTGCTGCAGGAGGGCACTTGGGCTTCCCCAAACACAGACCCTACTTGGTCTAATGGGGACCAAAACACCACAGCTAAGCCAAAGGCTCTGACTAAAACCAGCAGTATCTGGATACAGTTTAATACTCTGTTTTGCTGGAAAGCTTATATAGGATCTAATGAACTCTTCTGGCCTTAAATACTGGAGAAAGCAGGAAATGCTCCCCACACAGTAAGCTGGATGCACTCTGACTTCTGGACACAATCTCCTATTCATTCCCAGCTGGCACCTGGCAGTAGAAAGATCTTTGATCTCTTGTTATTAGTTGGAAACAAGTAAAAATATTTACTGATTTTAATAAAGTAACATGTGCCTGCATCAGGAAGGCTCCTCCATCTACTAAAGTTATCCATTGGCCAGAACTAAGCATTTCTCAAGTAACTGAGCTCATGTACACATGGTCTCTTGAGCTTGAGGACTTCTGTCTTGGTTTAACACTGTTACATAAACAACATAGTGAAAAGAATTTTAATGGCACTTATTAATAGAGTCCCATTAACATTACATGGGCTGTTGTACCAACTGGGACTTATGAAGGCCAATAAAACAACAAAGCAGACTTTCTGATTGCCAAACAACCAAATAAATATACAGTGAATGCATTGCTTGTTGGGTTAAAGATTAAACAGGGCCTAGAAGCAAGGATAATGAGATATTACAAGCAAGCCTTTATACAATTAACCATTCCTTCCAGGGTACCTTTTCCTCCAGGGGATAATACAGCTAGAGCAGTTGAAAAAGGTTTTACTTTTATTTGCAGGAGAATAGGGGAGGACTTGGTGGGCATGGTTTTATTCCACTGAGCCTACTTATGGTCCAATTAAGGACAAAAACACACCAAGGAAAAGGTTGCAGGACAGAGCAGGTGCTCTAAGAGACAGCAGGTGTATTTTTCCCTATACAAATAGACACAAAAGCAGAAAACCAAACTGAGTGAAGAAAACTACCAGCTTCTCCCAAGCAGAAGTCAAGGGCAACTCTGCCAAAGGAGACTGGAAAGCACTGAGGACAAGAAATGCTGAAAGCCATTTTCTGCACCTACTTACTGCAACTAAACACATCGGCTCTCAAGGAAACAAGAGTCTATCCACCCTTGGGGTAAGAGGCCATTGCTCCAGGGACCAGAGGCTCAAACTGAATGACAATTTTAGCTGAGTGTTCCCACTCCCACCCACAAGATTTAATTTCGCCCCATGCTATTTATTCCTACAAGGCACAAATCCCCAGCATTGCCTACTGCTCTCATGGGGCAGAGTACACGGGGAGGACATCAGCACACCAACTCTGTGCTGTTGAGCAGGCAGCCAAAAAGCTTACTAGGAACATATGGAGGAACTATTTTGTGGGCTGAGACCCAGAGGATCAGGGGATTTTTTTACCTCCTTAGGTGCTCTCCTGCGACCAAATCACATTTCACAATTTGCAGCATCACAGAAAGTTACAAGTCTACTCCCAATAAATAATTCCCTCCCCTCTTCTAATCCTAGAAGCATGAAGAGACCAACCAGGATGTGTTGATCTTGGTCAACCTACGAGTCGCTGTACCTAGAAGCAGGTTTAACTCGACAAACGGACGACCCCTCCCTCACCTGCGTAGGCATTTGCCTGCTGCAGCAGCTCGGTGCACGCGTGCACATCGGCAAAAGCTCGGATTCCAAGGCAGTTCGTGGGATGCAGCTGGGACTGAAGAAAGTCACAGCAGTTTTTTCGAACATCCATCAATTGCAGTAAACTAGCAGCTGGCAGCAAAACCTGCAAAGGCAAGAAAGGGGAATCAGAGATAACAAGGAAAGTTTGATTCACAGCTTTTGATTCACAGCTTGCACAAATTAGATGCAATTCCCCTTCAGACAGGGACACTTCCCTGCAGGGTGTGGGGAGGAAGGTTAAAGTTTTAGCACTATCTGTATGCAGAAGATCCCCATCCGTGCTCCAAGAGATGGAAACGGCGATCCCTAAAAGTGGAGCATTTCTCATGTCTTCTCCCCACAAGATCTCAAGGCAGGTAAAGGGAAGACAAAACACAAGCAACCATGGATGCACCTGAATTTCTGGCTTTGTTGCAGGTAGGTCCTACACACAGATATTTTTCTTCCCACTCCTGAAGAGCCTTATGTTATCTACATGTATTAATGTATTACCACCACATTCAAAGCCCATAGCAGCCCAGTACTCCATCACCCTCAAACCCTTGACCTTTCTTATTTCCAATAAAACCTTATTGGCTTGTAAGCAGGGTGCCCAAACTGGCATGTAAGAGAGGGAATTCACAGCAGCTCAAGCTCGTTTTGGTGACAGTGAGGCTCTCGGGAAAGATGGGGCAAACTAGTCAGATCAATGGCCCTCATTTTCACCCCCATAAAATGCTGTGGAAGCTTGTGGTTCTTGACTGCATCTGAAAATGAGGTACTGCTTTGTATATACAAAACTAAGTACAGAAAAGGGAGACAATTGGATCAGGAATATGACACCTGCTGCAAAAACCACCCTTGAGGCCAATGAGTGGGACAGGAAGTAAAAAATAAAGTGGGTCAGGATGTTACAGCCCGTGACATCAGCTACTTCCTTTCCTATGTCGTCCAGCTACTGCAGACGTGTCTCTTCCATAGCTCTGGCTGCTTCACACATGTCCTTCCAACTGGGCATCTGTGCTCACCATCTGAGCACAGATTTCTGAAAAATTATTTCCAACTCAAAAAAAAACGAGCAGCTGTTAAACAAAACAAACAGGTTAACTGCAATCACCTCCCTGGATCTCGAGGACAGGGAAGGGAAAAAAAGGTCCCTTCCCTGTCCCTGTCTGCCCCCACAGTCCCATCCCCCATGGGGCAGAACACTCACAACCTGCCCCAGGTCTTTTCTAAGCCACTGATGCATTCCAGCCCAGCTGCTCAGCGTCTGACTGCTGCCAAGCCGCCACTCCAACAGGCAACAATAAAAAAAGAAATCAATTAACCCAGGAGCCCATTTGGCCCAAGCCTCTTGATGCCAGGAGGAGATTAGTTTGTGGTTTTGATTAAATCAAGATAGCGACGCTCTCACATTTTTGAAACCTAGCTGTGAACCATTTTCTATCCAGCTGAACCATCTCCTCATACCAGCAGAAGGGCGAGCACCTGACTTGCATAAGGGCTGTGGGTAAATGAGTCAGACTCTCTGCAAAACCATCTCTGGCCATTTACCAGCCAGAGCTTCCTCCGTGCACCCCTCATCCACCCAGCGTGCGTGCCTGCAAACCCAGGTGGGCTGCTGACCTCAAGTGTTTTGGCATATTGCCTCTACAACAGAGGGTGCTCACTATGGTCACTAACACCCACACGCTACAGCCCCCTGGACACCCCAGTACTACTCTTACAGCCTCGTGCTGGTTTGACCAGCATAGAAGGAGCCTTACGCCGCTGCAGTTATCATATAATACTGTTTAGAAGTAGGACACAAATAGCCTATCGGGAGATGAGTGGATTTTCTCTTTCTTATTTCCCAGCTGAACGTCTCACCACTCATCTTGTTTTTACCGGGGAAGGCAAAAAGCAAGCAAAGGATATCCGCTAGCACAAAGTCTGTTTCCTTTAGAAATAACAAGAGGAAACGCCCTGCCTAAACATGCAGCAGGACCAAACTGCAACCCCATTAATATCAAGGCAAGTTCCTAACTTGGGTTTGGATTTGGCTCTTAATATGTGAACTCGAGCCACTGTGAATGATTTACAGAGACCTGGTTGTTCTACCAGATCAGCCTCCATACCAAAATCCAATTGTCTTTTGAAACCATGTCAAAGTTATCCGCGATTACTACTGAGACTGACTTTTTTACTAAACAAATTATGTCCAGGACCTCATCTATGGGGGGTGTGTATATATATACATCCCCACCCCCACAACCATCTAGTTCACCAGCCATGCTCTCTCACTCTGCAGACTCTGTACCAACCTCAGGCTTTACAGAACATTGCCCGTGCAATTAAATACTTTCATAAACCTTTGATGTCTCTGAACTAAAAACATCTTTCAGCCAAAAGTCACCTCTGCTGCTATCAGGTTCATTCAATAGGCAGGGCATTAACACCGGACTTCTGAGACCGGGGTTAGTTCCCTGCTCTGCCACAGCCTTCCAGGCAACCTTGGCCAAAATGTAACCTACACCATTCCTCCTCTGCAAAACTGGGAGAGGAGCACTTCCCCACGGCAGGGGATGTATTAAAGCTTATAAGCAGCTTTGACAATTTAGTCAAATTGGAAGCCAAATTAAGAGTACCGGCTGTAATCCTCAGCAGCACATCCAGGGCCACAGCTGGGACGGCACATCTGCCCAAACAGGGAGACAGGTCCCAAGCACCTTCCCAGGGGAATCTGTGACCAGAGAAGTAAGTAGATCTTGCATTTGCAAGGCAGGTTAAATACTCAGTTTTAACTGAACAGCTGTAAACTGCACAAGTAACGGAGATAAAACTGCATTACTGTAACGTGGCTTTCCAGTGCAAGGAGAAGGGACATAGAGGTGAGAAGGAAAATGAGGGAGCAGCTTGCAACTTCCCTCTTGATCTACTACCTTCTCCAACTTCACTGCACAGAACAGCTACATCATCCCTTGGTTAAATGATGGGATAAAAATGTGGAGACACATCCATCACAAACAGCACAGTCCTCTGGTGCCAAATCCACAAGTTTCTCCTCACCTTTCTATTAGGTCTGTTTCTGTAGGTGTAGGAAGGGCCTCCAACCCAACTACTGCAACACCCTAGAGAAGTCAGCACTGCTGTGGACCAAGGCTCTCCAGCACTCCAGGAAGGTGATGCACAGCAAGGAGCTTTAGCTCCAGGGAGGAAGATGGCCCTGATTTATTGCATCGCCTAAAGCTGAGCTGAAAGGCTCTTTGTCTCACCCTGGGCTTGCACCTACTCTAGTTGCAGCTTTTGGAGTGAACAGGGAGAAGGGAGAAGAACTGGCCCACTCATCACCCCTTTATCACCAAAACTGCCACAGACACTCTCCTTCCTTGTTGTGAAGCCCAAGTGCCTACGGAAAGCTGAGGTGCAGAAGCACACTTCTGAAAAGGAAATGCTACAGCTTCTAGGAAAGTGGTTTTTTCCTCCTTTCTCAAGCCATTTTCTATCACAATTACTCTGTCTGCAAAGCTGACAGTTTCAACATCTATTTCCTCCAGACAGCTGATCTCAGATTTTGCCCTTTCTATATGAGATGTCTGGAACTGCGGCAGTATACGAGGACACACCACGCGTGCAGTACGCACGCTGCAACTCATTCCTGAGAACTTAATTGTGAAATCAGGTTAATCAGGACTTTTCCCGGGGAATCATTGCCAGCCTAATGGTAATGACTTTCCTAATTGGCAGGGTAGTTCTCAGGCTGCCCACAAGTATTTAAGTGCCATCAGCAAAGATGGGTGTGACACAACTGAATTCAGAGGGACTTATTCACTGTCTACAGCCGGAGGTCCAGGTGTCTTCGCAGGACCTCCTAGGAGAACAAGAGGCCTCCTCCCAGACATCCTCTTCATTCAGTTCTGCTCACAGATGTTATGTCCAGCCTCTTCTCCATCGCTGGACTTTGCTCCCACCACTTTTCACCAAGCTGGCAGGTTTGAAACGAGTGTTGGAAACCAAGTGGCAATGCAGCAAGTTCAGCTGCAAAATCACGACTTGACTGAAAAATTCAGGAAATTGATACGTTAAAACGGCCAGCTACTCCTTACAGGCAGGGAGCAGCAGGCCCTGTGCCCTGTTTGATACATGCATATGGTTTCCACTGGAGCCAACCAGGGCTTCACATGAGCATCTGTGAACTTCCCCAAGTCACTCACTTTAGTTGTGCTGTGCAGTTTCTGTGAAAATGAGGACAACTTTCTTTGAAATAAATTTATCAAGCTCCACCTTCAAACGAACGAGATCTTTTTGTCATGCATATGAATCCTCACAACCAACCTTCATGTAGGGTGCAACAAAAGAGGAACATCAGGTAGCGGAGACAGAAATCCCAGGACAGATTTTCCTGAGACTACGACATGACTGCAATGAAGATGATAGTTCTTTCTCTGCTCCACGCCTTCCAAACAAGTAGAAGGTTAAATCCCAAATGCGTGTTCAGAGGTAAAACACTGCTCAGCACAGAAGCCTCTCTATCATCCATCACCCCTGAACCTTCCTACTACTGTATCTATACTGCCTTGAAATCTCACTCTAAAAATGAAGTTCCAATGCATTAAGCAGGATTGCATTTGTCAGGGCAACTCTCACCCACGTATCCCCAACAAAGTTAGAAGAGGGTATTCGCTCCCACATGGGCTCAGTGCTCTCCCTCATGGAGCTAGAGTGGACTGAAATTCCTCCTTATCTGCACACTTTGGATATATTGTTGAGGAGAAATTGCATGAACAACCCCCAGTAATTCACTACATAGACGATGACTGGAACTGACCGTACAGGCTTGGCCCCTTGTACACACATCCTTCCTTTCTTAAAAAAAAAACAACAAACAACACTGTGCAACGAAATAACAATCAGCTACAAAAATACGAGCTTAGAAAAACAGTCTTGCTTCCTGAACACCATACGAGGCCTATAAAGGCAAAAAGAGAGAGGTTTCGATTAGAAAAGAAACTACGAAAGGACTGTAAGAAGGCATTTGAGCACACTTGGGAACACTCATTCCTGCAGTCCCATGTTACCTTTGCTGCTCCATCTTTTTCTCATTTCAATTCCGCCCTCATTTTATTTTGCTTACTGACAAGAACCTGTCTTTTCATTTATTTATATGTTTTGGTAGCTTGGCTGCCTCCATTCCGTTAATGCCACTTAGCAATCCTCCTTCTTGTAGTTTCTACAATGAAATTACCTGGCGCCTACATCCAGAAATTGCTTCTGTTGAGGAAATCTGAAAAACTGTGTGTCAAACTGCACAAAATCCCTTTAAAATACACGCTCGCCCTGCTAGAAAATTAGAAGATACCTCAGGAGATACCTGCTGGGAAAAGAGAAAGTCTTGCCATGCTCAAGCAAGACTGTGAAGGAACGCTGCTGAAAGGACGCAGACCAGCACTACCGAGGCACCCTTCCAGCTGGATGGCCGACACGGAGTTGTGCAGCAGGAGGATGTGACAGTGCAGGGGACCAAACCTGCTCGCTTCTTCCCAAGACTGACATTGTTAATCCAAACCAGAGACTCCAAGGAACTTCACAGTGTTTGCCTTTGCTGATGTGAACCTTCCCAACAAATCACAGAATATTCTTTTCTGTAAACTTTTCTTCCTGTGGCTGCAGGTGAATATTAACCTATTTAAGGCATTCTGTTCAGGGGTAAAGCACGCAGAGACAGGATGGAAATTTCTCTTTCAAGTTTCTATTGGTTTCATCACAAAATGGTATTAAATTCCATAAAACATTTTCAGCACAGACCTTTTTAACATAAAATTTCAACTAGTCAGTTAATCTTGCATTAGATCAGCTTCATTTCTTAGCTCCCATGAATTAATTTACCTCCAGCCTAAAGAGTTACTCACAGAGTGGTTATTTAAACAAATCCTTAAGTAAAAGGACCTGCTTTACTAGACTGGGAAAAAACACTATGCCCAAATCTTAGCATTCGCTGATCTTATATTTTTATCATCTTACTCTCCGAGATGGACATCCAACATACAGACAGGGCTCTTACTTTAACTCTTTGTAATCCCTAGGCCACAGAAGGCAGGCTTTGGTTAGGTTTTACTACAAAACATAACTTTCCAGTTGCTCAGAGAAGGTAACATCTGGACTTCTTCATGACCTTCTTGGGCAGGTCTACGCTGCAAATGCTCTCCAGCCTGCTCTGCCTTGGCAACGCTGCTTATAGCCAGGTGCAGCCGTACTCCAGCACTGAAATGCTCCCGTGGGAAAACAGCCAGAGCAAGTGTAGTCACTTCAAGCACACTTCATTCAAGGCAGACTGACTGGGGCCAGCACACCAGATGGTATCTCCAGAGCAGCACGTCCCACGTGCTGAGTGGGTGCTTCTGGGCCACCTAACAACCAGCAGCGTGGAAGCAAAGCATACGTTTCGAAAAGCACGTGGATATAGTCTCCACGTTTCCCACAGGAAAAGGGACCAGCCTAAGAGGGTATAAATGTCATTTTTCCTCCAGCAATGGAAGATCCCAGAGGTCCAAGGAACTTCACTCCATTCCTCCATTGAAGTAATGCTTTATCTCAGCTCCTGATGACCCTGACTATACACTGTATTTCAGCATGGGCTATGTGGCAGGCAGCTAGTCCAAGTGACTCACTGTTGGGTTGGAGCCTCTGCTTTGCTCTAATAGCACCCTGAAAGTCTCCTCACTGCTGGTCCTCTGTCTCACCATAGGACAACCAGGGTCCACACTCCTACCAGTACGACAACTGCTAGGTTGAGATCATGCCAGAAAGTCAAGTTTGTAAAACTGGAGGGCAGAAGGGGCAAGAAAAGTCACCCACAGACTTAGGTCATGAAGGATGGCACAGGGCTCAGACTGCAAAGTGGACACAGCTCAGGGCTTTATCCAAGCTCCTGCAGGAAGAGAAACAGGTCAGCAAGAACCTGCACCCTGCCTGAGGGACTGGAGCAGAAGATCATGTCCCAGCCACAGCAAGAACCTCATTTCAAGTAGAACCAGCTTAATTTTGCCACCTTATTTAGGTCAACATAAAGCACGCAGCAGTGTTGCCCCTCTCTCTCCAGCATCACGGACCCAGACTTATTACCCTGCCCAGCATTCAACTCACAGAGAGGAAGACATCAAACTCAGACTTCCACTTGCAAACAAAAACGCAGACCAACTGAAAAGCATGTCCACACACAAGGTCCCAGCATCCCTTCCAGAAATCAGTGGCTAAGTGCACAGCCATTTTCTTACCACAAATACAAGTAGAGTCAAAGAAAAAGCTTTACCAGCAGCCACAGCCACGTGACACAGCAAAACACTCTCTTCCCGAGTATCCCACTTTATCTGCAGGCTGCCTTTCAATTATTCTTTCCACTTCTAGACAAATATTAACCACAAAGAACATCAAGACAGAGTGCAAACACACACACAAAAAAAGGAAGAATGCCCTCATTTGAGCAATACATTCCACTCAAAGCTCTGTCAAACAACTCAAACTACCCAGAAGAATTTAAAAACTAACAGCCAGATTCCTCGGCCATGACCTTAAAACAGCATTTGACTCACTGCTTGTTTGAGTGTATTTTGACCTTCGACAGACTGACCCACAAGTCAGCACAGCTTCTTGGGAGGCAAATGCCTACTCTCGTTATAAGAGCTCGACACAAAAGCTAAATGCAACATGACTTTAGTGTGGGGAAAGCAGCAAAGTGCCTGAAGACTACACAGAGGCTGGAAGCAGCTCTTTTCAAGCTCAACCTTTTACTTTCTGCAGCCTAAAGAGATCATTCACCCCCAAAGGACTTGTGCCTTTGAGT